TACAGGCATGCGCCACCATGCCCAGCTAATTTTTTCTATATATTTTTAGTTGTCCAATTAATTTCTTTCTAATTTTAGTAGAGATGGGGTCTCACTCTCGCTCAGGCTGATCTCGAACTCCTGAGCTCAAACGATCTGCCCCCCTCAGCCTCCCAGAGTGCTAGGATTACAGGCGTGAGTCATCACGCCCGGCCTTGATATATTATTATTAATGAAAAAAGCATGACTTTGCAGGCAGGCAATCAAATCTGAAATGAACTTGAAGCTCAGTTCTTCCACTTAATATATGATCTTGGGAAAACTTCTTCACCTGTCTGAGCCTAACTTTACTTACTTGCAGAATGGGAATACACATATCTAAATTGCAGTGCTATCATGAGCATGTAAACATTGCAATGTTAGTTACATTCTGTGGGTCAGATTATATACAGAGAGCAAATACCCTTTAGAATGAAGGTCCACAAACTAGAGCATGTCCAGAAGAGACAAGTAGAATAGTGAAGGTATGAGAACTCTGAATTGTGATAGGTATAAAGAACTGAAAGTGACTGATATGGAAAAAGAAAACTTGGGAGGATATGACAGCTGTCTTCACATGGAAAAATGCACTTGTTTTGAACAGCTAGGGAAAATGATCAGATCCAATTAATGCATGTTCAAGGACAACAGTCTTTAGCACATCATATTAAAAAAACTTATGGCTGGACCGGGTGCGGTGGCTCACGCCTGTAATCCTAGCACTCTGGGAGGCCGAGTGGGGCAGATCGTTTGAGCTCAGGAGTTCAAGACCAGCCTGAGCAAGAGTGAGACCCCGAGACCCCACCTCTACTAAAAATAGAAAGAAATTAGCTGGACAACTAAAAATATATAGAAAAAATTAGCCAGACATGGTGGTGCATGCCTGTAGTCCCAGCTACTTGGGAGGCTGAGGTAGGAGGACTGCTTGAGCCCAGGAGTCTGAGGTTGCTGTGAGCTAGGCTGACACCACGGCACTCACTCTAGCCCAAGCAACAGAGTGAGACTCTGTCTCAAAAAAAAAAAAAAACTTACGGCTTACAAATAGACCTGTCTTAAACGGAATGAGTTGCCTTGTGAAATAGCTGTTCATTATTTTACTAGAGGTATCACACAGTGTTTGGTAATACTGACCAGAGGCTGGGCTTGATGACTGCTAATATCCTTAATCATTCTTTATAGTCAATTAAAATCAAGCATACTATATTGTAAAACTTCCTTATTTTGGACATTATAATTATGTGTTGTATTCAGATTAAAAACTTCTATGGCAAAGTAATGGCGAAGAGTTCCTCTGATGGGCATTCCTATTCTAAATGAATTTATTTGTCTAAGTTAAATTAAGCACAGTTGTATACTAGAATGTCTAACCAATATTTCTATAGAAGGATCTGCTGAAGCACTAAAATACTGTTAATTTATAGGACATTTATTAGATATTAATAGATCTTAACATATTGATAATTGTACCTTCTTTTCAACATATAGGGTAATTTATAGGCAGAAAAGCTACAGTTTAAAAAAAGAAGAAAACAGAAAGTGTCAGCAAGGATGTGGAGAAATTCAAAGTCTTGTGTATTGCTGCTGGGGAATATAAAATGGTACAGATACAGAAGGAAACAGTTTGGGGGTTCCTCAAAAAGTTAAACATAGAATTACCATAGA